TTACATATGCTTATGATTACACATGATATCGCTTGTTTCTGCATCTACGTTTTGATTTACTAATCTTTGAGAAGATGCGTTATAGCGCCCCTAGTGTATAACATTGAAAACACAGAAAGCCAGAAAACTCCGTCAATGGTAGGGAAAGAGTTAAATGTGAAAATGGCTTGCCATAGAGTATGAGCAGGGGGGTCAAGGCGGTCTGTCTATTTTCGAAGCGGCTGTCGGTGTCGGGCTATTTCTCTCAGGCCGGTGACAGGGCTATAGATTGCAGTGAGCGCTCACTGAGGTCAGGTGGCTGTACAGCATAAATCCCTGCATTTTCCTTTGATTTAACCCTCATCCTTCTCCCGCACTTTGTGACAAACCCTTCCCTTGAAGGTCAAAATGACCCGAAGCCCTAAAATTATAGGCCTACTTATTTTTTTTGTCCAGAATTCTTTTTTGATAATTGTTCCATTTCATTTTGATAATATTTTTTCTATTTTTAATGCAATTTTTTGGAGATATTTATTATTATTATTTACCTTTAAATGACTAGATTTTATTAATAGATAATAATTTAAGCACATTCTTCACATTCTTTCAAAATTCAAAATACATTTTCATGCATAACCATTTTAATTCAGCTCAAAATATCTTACATTAGGTGTCTCTGCCGACCTCTTGTGGATTTTTTTTAAAATAAAATGATATTTCATGACTAGATGGCCTTATAGCTCTATAAGGGGCAAATGAACTGTTCTACTGGATCCTAAAGACAGTTTCATTCAGTTTTTTTTCCAACGGTATGCATTCAAATATCTATTTAGAGATTTTAAATGAATGAATTCTTAATTCAGAATAAAAAAAAAATGCTGTTATAATTTTGTGTGGGGTCGGGCTGGGGGAGGGGGTGTTCCGCATTGTAAATGTGTTAAAATATAACCACTTCAGATCTGTGAGCAGTCTGCATTGCGACTAATTGATTTTTATTTGAAAAAATTTAAGAAAAAACATTGTTTTTTTATATGTACCCCCATTCACTTGAATGGAAACTCTTAGGTGTGTGTGTATGCATGTGAGTGTGTTCTGCATTGGGAATGCAGATATAGTCTTATGTCTTCGTTTGTGTGTTTGTTTGTTCAGGATTGTGCCAGATCTTTTATATTTTTTTGACAAATTAAAAAAAAAATCCTCACATTCCATTCACTCCAATGGGGGTCAAATCGACCCGTGAGGGAAGGGTTTGTTACTTTTTTAAATTCAGCCACATACACTCAATTTAGAGTCAATTTTTGTGTGTGTGTGTCTGTGTGTATTACGAGCGACAAAAGTCGCTCGTAATACATCTCCGTTAGATGTCAGGCATTAACTTTGCTGTAGCCCCCGGCCATTTATTTATACCTTCTAGCTTTACATACATTACTGTACTTGGTAAAAACAGTTTTGTCAGGTTTAATTCAAAATATTATCTACTAGGACTAAAAAAATCCCAGAGACTACATTTGGTAGGTCTGAGGAGATGTACATTTTCAGTTTTTAAAGTGTAGCAAGCATTAGTTAAACATTATTAACTATGGCCTGAACACTAGGAATAACACCATACAAGTAAAACATTAAGATTAATACAGGGTTCCCACTCTTTTTGACCAATAGATTTCCATTACTTTCCCTGTCATTCATGATTACTGGACAATGATTATTATTTTATAGAGACTGGACTCACAAAGAGCAATTTATATATTCATTACAAAAATTGTATGAAAATTAATTTATCATGACATTTAAGATTACAATTTTTAGACATCACAAATAATACTTTTTAAATAAAAATTGAAGTGTTCTGGTTCTGGGGTGTTTTTTTTTAGGACCGTGGGAACCTGGTCATAAAATACCCACTCCCCCAAAATACCCAAAAATACTTTGTGAATTTGAAATCTTCTTTAATTGTCACAGTTTAAGCACAATAAAAAGAGAAAATATTTTTCCAGTCTTACAACAAACAGAAAGACACATTTCAGTTTTCTTTCTTTTCTGCACTGTACAACAAACACCCTTACAAGCAACTCTAAATACATACTCCGTGAGCATGCTTCCAGAATACAAACCACAGTTTAAAAAAAAGTAAAACAATAATAAAAAGTGCATATTAAAATACCCCATGTCTCTTTTTTGTTGTCCCTTTAATAAAACAGAAAATGCTGAAGAAAGAAACTGCACTGAAAACAGACCAGAAATACACACACGCCCATGTTTAAGTATACATATCATACACATCCACAAAATATACATACGCGCACTGAGGCCCATAAACTCTACATTCTACGAGTACCACAGAACTGATCCCATTCTCATTAAACCAACATGCATACACATATTAATATCACATCTGTAATAATTTTACACTCACAATTACGTCATTCTTTTCTGTATGTATTTAAACACACTCATCTATGGCTCTCCTTCAATCCCCAACACACACACATACACACACACACACACACACACACACACACACACACACACACACACACACACACACACACACACACACACACACACACACACACACACACACACACACACACACACACACACACACACACACACACACACACACACACACACACACACACACACACACACACACACACCTCCAGAATCCAATTCAGCAGAGAACATTGTGGTTTTCGTTCATAGACTGACAGGTAAAGGATGAAGTGGTAATGTACTACCATAGTATGCAAAGAGCGACCTGATAGACACTGTGCAAAAAGTATATCAGTCACAGCACTTCATTGTTCCTACAGAGCAGCAATTTTTCTACTCAAATGATGGGTCAGGATTACACAATTCCTATTTTTTGAGCCATCAATCCCACCAAAAACATTCAAATCACATTGTGCTCTAAAATGTCCACATTTTGTTTGATTTCCGGTTGGATAAGGCCCACTGAGGTATGCGTGGCAAGATAAATGGATAGTTCATCCAAAAAATTACAATTCTGTCATCCTTTACTCACCCTCATGTTGATCCAAAACTGTAAGACTGTTTCTTATGTGTTTATCCATACAATGAAAGTCAATGAGGTCCAAGATTGGTTGTTTTGGACCCCAAATATTTTCAATGTATGGCGAAAAAATTTTCCACAGAAGAAAGTCATACAGGCAGGGGCGTAGCAGCCATTATAAAAGTGGGGGGGACAAAATGGTGTGGTGATGTGACCCAAAGGTCAGTCCTTCCAGAAAAATGCGGAGTTTTTTTGTGATTGTTGCGGGCAAAAATCCTTGATTATGCGGCGATGGAATATGCAGGATATTTGCAATTTTATGTGATGAAATTGCGGGAACTTGCAAAAACTGCGGTTTGATGAAAAAGAGAGAAAAAGTGATTCCCCAACACCCTGTTCTCACTAGGCTACTACTAATGTAAAGAGCTATTTCTTATTACTTCCTATGATAAGCAAACATACTACATCACAGAAAGTGCTGGAATATTTAATCTTGTTTTATTTCAGACCTTAATAAACGCATGGCTCAAACTTACAAAACATTGATGAGTCAAACAAGTTCTGTAGCTTTACAAAAGGAATATGCTACAACTTCTGTAAAAATTAATAAATAAAATATGTAAAAAATGTTTCCTGTTTTACAGCTTTTTTTCATTTTTTTTTGCAATGATGTTCATGTCGAGTAATTATGTCACTTCATAACGTTCCCATGGCAACCGGGGGAAACGGCTGCTCTCGTGTGAAGCAAACGCAACATTTTTCAACTTTCAGCTAAGATATATGTGACTTTTTTTGCAACAAAAATGCGGGGATTATGAAATCATACAAGCCCCGCATATTTTGCGTGGAAATCGGCAATTTATACGGCAAAAGTGCGGCGTATTTGAAAAAATGCCCCCGCATAAATATGCGGACTTTGGCTGATTATGCATTGAATCATGCGATCGCATAATCGCGTTTTTCTGGAGGGACTGAAAGGTGATGTTCATAATAATAAATTCTAGATGGAATAGCAATTGGCATTTTACAGCACCCTAGTGCCAATTTTGGGAACATGCCATGATAGTTTACAGCAACCTATTTTTGTGAAATCATACTCGAAATAAAAAAATATTGCAGGACTTGGGACTTTCAGACAACTGTGGACATATATACTTTATTTTTATGAAATAAAGATATTTTATGATATTTACAATATTTCAGTTAAACTACACTTGAACAATAACTTTATCTTACTTCTTAACAGTTGGACCAAAAAAAAAGTGTTCAATGAGTACAGAACAGATTACATCTAGCCTACAGTAATTTTATACAACAGACATTTTATAAAAATATATCAATAAAAACTAAATCAATGTATTCGGTATTGGACATCAATTTAACATTGACATGTTGAATTTACATTGAATTTTGGTCACCCGACGTCGCAACCAAAATTTAACCAAATATCAACGTCTTATGACGTTGTGTGCCTGCTGGGAATAATCTGTTATGTCTCATTTAACAGACGCTTTTATCCAAAGCAACAGGTAGGAGAGCATTTAACACACACTCGGCACAATCCGGCGCGACGTGACGAGGTCCATACGGGTTCTGTTGTCTTACACGTCTTACAGCGTTACAGTAGGTTAAATCATAACAAGGAAACTTTACGTGTGATTCATGTCATCGCGACATACTGTAACAGTGTGTGTTTGAAAAAAATGATGTAGTCCTCTGCTTTTTTTCTGGGGTGCATTAGACGGCCAAACAGCAAAGCGACTAAACAAACACGAAAATTCGCAAGAGCAACAAAAGATTTGAAGCTCATGGCAGACGCGCCCAATAGATGCTTCGCGCTGTGATTGGCTGAATGTTAGCTCACTCAAGTCTAAGTAACAAATCAGAGAACACGGGCGGAAATATTGGCGCTGAGTAAAAAAAAATGCGGGGGACAGAATCACCTGTTTCTAAAAGTGGGGGGGACGTGTCCCCCCCGTCCCCCCCGGTTGCTACGCCCCTGCATACAGGTGTATTGACAGTAAATGTTGGCAGAATTATCATGTCTGGATGGACTATCCCTTTAAATCACAAATTCACTCTTGCAAGCACAAACATACACTCACATACAGAATAAAAGTCACATAGTGTGGTAAGGGTTAACAGTTCGTTTCTTCAGCCTCCGCAGGGGATGTGTCCTCCCATACTGTTGGCGTGTTGCCACGGGTATCGAGGCAGGAGCAGGTAACGGGGCGTAACCTGCCTCCTCCTGTGCATTATCCTCCCTCCAACATTCATTGGAGGGTGAGGAGAGTGGCAGTGGCATGGGCATGACATCACAGTCACTATACTCCGCCTCTTCAGTCTCATCATTATTCTCTTCGTGTCCGGGTGAATGAGATCCAGTGGACGAAACAGGAGAGGCAGAGGAGGAAGGGAGAGCAGGAGTGCAACGGGGCAAAACACGCTTCTTTTTTGAGGTATCGTCACTGTACGAGTGGGGCCGTGGCTTATTGGCGGGAGCAGGGAGTAAGGCGGGAATCAAGTCAAGCTCGTTCAGGTCAAAGGTCGAGAGCTCCAACGACCCAAGCTTGGCCAACGAGGCCGAGCGCTTCATCATTGAGGGTGGGGTCAGTCCAGCCTGCCGGATCCGAGCCTCCACCTCTTTGGTCCTCTCTCGCGTCGCCCGGCCCTTTCTATGCTCCCTCCGTGACCAAGGCTGGCTGAGCCTCCTGTCCGAGCAGCCACTCACCTGCCAGAGGAATGCCCCAAGCTCTTTCAGGGTCTCCCAGGTTTCTCTCATGTCCTTTGGACAGCGTACCAGGGGACAGTCAGAGTCCGTGTAACTCTCATGCTCGGTGATTCCCTCAAGCTGGAGAATCACAACTGGAGAAGAGCTAGATGAATCAGAATGGCTTTGTCTGGAGTGTGTGAGCCCGGTGTTCCTGTGCTCTCCCTCCCTGAGTCGTCTCTCGCTTTCGCTTCCTGTTCGGTCCTCTTCAGCCGAAACACTCTCGTCTTTCTCCATCTTGTCCGTGTTGTTCTGAGGCTGGTGATGGTGTGTTGACACAGTGCTTGGATCAGGTGTGAGGTGTGTGTGGGTTGAGGTCTCCTCAGTTCTCTCTCTGCTGCTGGTGTTGACGGGGGAGTGTCGCGAGGGACATGCGGGGGCCGAGGACACCGGTGCCGCTGACAAGACCACCTGCTTGATCTTCTGCTCAAGCTCCCTGGTGGCTCGCCGCACGGTACCCTTTGGCCAATCTTTCCCATGCTCCACCTTCTCAGTTTCAGCTTCTGCTGATGTGGCTGGAGTGAACTCCTCTTCCTCACTGCTGCTACTGGAAACAGGTTGGCTGGTAGGAAGGGGGGGAGGGGTTACGCTGTGCTGAATGGACTCCATTTCTGAAACTATGTTATGGACTGAGACACTGCAGCTCTCCTGTAGCAGAAACACAGGGGCATTGGGTGGTCAATTGTATTGAATATGTATCATGTATGTCCATTATTTTGTGATTTAAAGGTGAAGTGTATCATTTTTGTGCCTCTAGTGTCACAAAGGAGAATTGCAAAAATAAATAAAATGTGAACAATGCTTGCCAGGGCGTTTCCAAGTAATTGCTATGGCATTCTGGGTGGTGGAATAAATTCATAGACTCGTGTAAAAAAACTAGTGACTTTTGTGTCAACTAATCTTGTGACAGAGGAGTTAGCTTAGAGAATAAAAGAAAATCTTTCTAAAATGTGGGAGCCAAAACCTGACAGATGACTGGCTACTATTACTGAACCATCAAGTACATTTAATAAAAGAGGAACAGTGGCTTTCCAGTGATTCCAACTTCCATTTGCATTAATATTTTGCACCAATTTTGTTCTTTTGAACACATCGGATGGAAACGCTGCTTTATTCAAAAGTTGTTTTTGGGACTTTCAGATTTTTGGTATGTATTAAATTTGCAACTGGGATGGAAACAGCTGCTGTTAGAACTTTTCAGTTAGTCAATATACGATTGGTGTTCTTTTAGTGTAAACAGGAACATGGAACTGGAATGGGTAAAAAGCATTTTAAATGTCACAAAATTACACACTTCACCTTTCACTCTACATGTGCATAAAACTCCAATGCAACTTCAGCAGATTGATCAACACCATGACAGATGAATGATCCCATGCAACATTTCTCATCAACAGTGGGTGGCAGTGTGGGGCATGAGACTTCACTCAAACATGGCTATGGTGAGACACGATATGAGAACGGATCCTGATTTTAATAAAGTTTGACACTTACTCTCTGGAACGTTATTGCCTTGCTGCAGGACGATAACATAATATTAAGACAGATACATTCAAAGATTTGTCCAGCTATCTAAATAAGCATTTTAAGTCATTCATAGAGATTTATTTATTTCATTGATGGTTAACACTGTGCTTTTTTCTGCAAGTAAGAAATTAATTAAACTTAAAATTATAGAAATTATAGAATGGTAGCACATTAATGCATCATTATACTTTAAAGTTCATGAAAAAAAAGTTTGGTTGATTCTTTTAACGGAAAAGCCCCCCAACATTGAAAATTCAGTCATCAGTTACTTACCCTGTTGTTCCAAACCTGTAAAACTTTCCCCACTGACTTTCATTTAATGGACAGTATTTAAAACATCTTTACTTGTGTCCCACAGAAGAAACCAAGTCGTACAGGTTTGGAATGACATAAGGGTGAGTAAACGATAACAGAATTTTCAATACTAATACGGGAAGTTTCAAACACTCCACCATCCCACCATTCTTCATTACCCCTTACCTTTTTCTGTTCCTCCTCTTTAATAGGGTTGTCAGGAAGTAGCCGTTTGGTCTCTACGCTCGGACTTTTGTCCCGAGGTGCCTGCTGCGACGCCTGCTCAGAAGTCCCACGGATCTGACCCTCCTGAGAAAGGCCCTGGAACTTCTCTCTGGCACTGAAGAAGTCAATGCGGTCTGTGCTTAGAGTGGAGGGAGGGGTGGTAGATGTGGCACTGGGGTGGTGGTCTTCATCACTGCTGTGACTTAACCCCGCACAGTCTGTCTCCGTGTTAGGCACTTGCTGGCTGAGATCCTGCAGCCCTGAGGAGTCCAGGGCCTCTGTGCATGGTTCAGGAGTCCTACTCCTAACGTTCATGGATGAGAGGACCTTTGGACTAGACTTCTCCAAAGGCACAAGATTGGACACCTCAGGCTGCTCAGGCAGTACTTGATTGGCCTTTGCATCTGAGAGAAGCCCGGGGGACGAAGGTGGCTGATGTACAGCGGCGGGCGGATGAGGACGACACAGCGAGACCGTCTCGGTAATGGTCACAGGGGTGACATTAGAACTGGCCTCAGGGACCACAGTGGCAGCCCTGCGTCTTGGGATGAAGGGGGTCTCTGTGGGTTCATGGAGGTTGTCGTCTGGGTTCCCCAGGCCGTTGTAAATGTGAGTATCTGACCAGGGTGTAGTATCAGGCGCCGCCTGCTCCTTAACTCCAGTGGGTGTGAGAGTCTGCAGTAGCTCCTGTATTGAGGGTGACGTCTGGCAGAAGGTCTGGTTACGGGAATTGGAGCGTCCGAGAGACTGTGCAGCAGTGGCCTTACAAAGCGGCTCGTGGTGGTCCGACAGATCACTATCCGAGTGGGAACGCCACAACTTATTGTGTCTCTGTTTGCTAGTATGGAGAAAAGAAAAAGGTAGAGTAAGCAAAACATGCAGGGAGTGGCAATAACCAATACAATCAAAAAGGAGGCATAAGTTTATGAAACTAACCGTCAGTGGAGCAATGTATAAAAGAACAAGAGGTGTACAATACAATTTGGTGGCTGATATATTATTTGACAATGAATATGGAAAACTTACAGAAGATAATTCTAATTGATAAAGTGTGACTGTATAGTTTCTTGCTGTATTGTTTTTTGTAGTAACCTAACCTAATCAGTCTCATGTGTCAATATGCATGTGTGTACACAGTTTGTTGTACACGTTGTGTTTGGGCTAGTTTTAAGTGAGATCATCTGCTGTAAGTAACAACATGCCATTTTCATATTCTGTTTCACACTGCACAAACAGTTGATTATTGGTCATTGTAGTTAGGCCAGAAATTCCAGTGTATCCCTAAGATAACAAGTTTAACATATTTTGCTAAAAAATATGATGCTGTTTTTGAAGCAAAATACTAATGAATCATAACACAGTCCTGCAGAAGAGCAACGAGTCACTCGCAGCACGTTTGTCTTATTTCACACCCTCTGCTCTAATCAGCTGAGCGACTATTGACTGTGACAGCACATTATTTACAGACACCACAGCTTGTGTTATCAGACAAAAGAAATGTCAACTATGGTATAAATAACTACCAAAAATTCATTGGCAGTTTTGTTCATCTCAAACCATGGAAAACAAGATTTTTCTGGCTCTGCTGAAATAAAAGAGTATGCATTAATAGACATACTACTGTTTAAAAGTTTGGGGTTGGTCGGTAAGAATGCTTTTGAAATAAGTCTCTTGTGCTCACCAAAGCTGCATTTATTTGATCAAAAACACAGTAGAAGTATTATTGTGAAATATTATTACAATTTAAAATAATTGTGTTCTATTTGAATACATATTAAAATGTAATTTATTCCTGTGATGCAAAGCTGAATTTTCAGCAGCCATTTCTAGAGTCTATCAGTGATCAGTCTATCACATGATCCTTCAAAAATAATTTTAATATGCTGTTTTCTTTCCTTCTTCTTAATTTTCAATGTTTAATACAGTTGTGCTTCTTAATATTTTTGTGGAAACTGTGATATGTGTTTATTCAGGATTCTTTGATTAATAAAAAGTTCAAAAGAACAGCATTTATTTGAAATATAAATCTTTTGTAACATTTTAAATGTCTTACTGTCACATTTATCATCAATTTATTGCATCCTTGCTGAATAAAATAATGTATTTCTTAGAAAACAACAACTCCAAACTTTTGAGTTTCATAAACCCAGATCATTTATGAAAACTAAGCTGCAAAAATGGGTCAGTCTGAAATAGTCACGATTGTGTTTTTTACATATTAACGTTACGATTTTAAAATGAACATATTACCACCTAGTCGCCTACATTTACACATTCAGTATTCAGCAACATGACCCACCACCAATGTGTATGCGACAAATAAAAGTTTGAACTGTTTTAACTGGGTCAGAGAGACAATGGAAAATGATGTTAATATAAAAAAATGATGTAAATATAAACTTCAGTGGGAAAATGTTACGAATGTGTATAATATGGATCCATCTTTGGATTGAGTGGTTTTGTCAGACCTTAATTTTTTTTTTTGAATAACCCCATTCAGTAATTTTACAGGAAGTGCAAAGTGCATTGTGTTGCAAATGCATACCCACCCACACCAAAGCCCACATGCACAAACCTACAATCTCTGAGACGCAAACACACGATCAAAGACGCACAAGTTACTAAGTGGAATGTGGTCGAACAGCCACTGTAACTTCTCAAAGAATACAATCAGAGCCCTATGATCAACTGTGTAAAGAACAGTGTCATTAACATGGAGGAGAACGTCTACGGTCATTTAAGTGAGTGGCATACTTACATGTTTTTAAATATTTGAATGCACACAGACGTTTCCTACTATTCACACACTTTCAAATGACATATTTACCTTGCCACCAGGATTCCCTGATACTCTTCCAGCTGTCTCATGAACGATGGGTTGGGTTTGGTGACGGCCCGCCGCTCTTTAACATACTCAAAGGCCTGCTGCAGGCCCCATCCGTACTCCTTCATGGCATATGCGATCACAGTGGAGGCCGAACGACTGACGCCCATCTTGCAATGCACCAGACACTTCGCCCCTGCTTTCCTGTAGGTATCAGATTAGTCTTGTGTTTAAAACAAATGGATGTATAGTGCTGCTAGTAGATGTTGGTAAAGAAAAACTAAAACATAGGTTAACAATTCATTTGAATTAAGACTTTATCTGAAACCTAGAAACCTTTCTTCTGAAAGAAGAGACTTTGAACCTAAAACTACCAATCATTTATACAAATGCTGTGCTCACATTATATCAGAATGACTGTAATTTCGAGTTTCTGACTGAAAACGGTTCATACCTTGTCAAACCTGAATCTGATGAAAATTCGGACTTCTTTTATCCTTATCATTTTTCTGGCTGTTATTTGATTTCTAAGTTCTTATTAATTTGGATTGTGAGCATTTGTATTATTCAGTTGTTTCCTTGTATAAAATTCATTAAAAACAAATTGTTGAAAAGAAAATTCTGATTGTGTCGTCATTTAAAAAAATGTCAGCAATTGCAACAGTAACAGCTAGTTAGACACCTCAACATATTTTAATATGCCATTTTATTATACACAGTGTTACAAGGTGTGCCATTTTGTTATATTTTTTAATTGCATATAAAGGATGAAGTAATTAGGGTTGCACAATATATTGAAAAATGCTTGCTCAATGTTACATTTTTCATACTTTACAATGTTGTGATGCCTAAATTAACTTGTAGCATTTTAAACAAATTATTTTATTTTGAATTTTATATTTTGAATTTCAATATTGTATTAATATTTAATATAATAATGATTATAATCATTTTATTAGTTATCGGTTATATTTTATCAGTATCATCCAGGTTTTTAATTTAGTTATATCCCTAGAATAATGTAGTGATCAAATATTTTTCTCCCATTAACAAAAAAACCATAGATGGGTCCATTATGAGCATTACTAAAATGATTCAAAGTAGAATCTCAGGGTTGTCAACTCACAATTGTGGTAATTCTGACATAACAAACGTAGCAGGAGTAGTTTGAAACAACTTTATAACAATGACAGCTAGAACAGCAGTGCATTTTACTCCAAAGTGAGCATTAGGAGGTTATTCCCACTCACTTGGCTCTAGAAATGAACTTGTAAGTGTCATTCCAGTAAGCCAGCAAGTCTGTGACCTCTTCATCGTAAACCCGGATATTGTGGTACTCGAATAGCCCTGGAAAGAAGTTATCGATCTCCCGCGTCACGTTAAGGATGTATTGCACCCTGATGATAAACACAAAGACATAACCGAAAATCTGTATAATCATTAACGCCAGGAACAGATTTCAAAGAGAATATCAAAGATAACAGGTTTATGGCTAAAACATCAAAGTAGCTTCTACTTGCAGGCATGAGAGTGTTTTCAGAGACGAGGATGTCAACAAAACTCACCCGCTGTTTTGTAGTTCTTCCAGATTAGATGCATTCCATTCAGAACCCTATAATTAGGTACAATTCAAAAATGACTGATGGTACAACGTAACTGAAATGTATGATTAAAATGTGTGGCTGACATCACTCTCACCAGGTAAACATGCTCAAAAATCTCTGTGGGCCTGTCCATCTGCCCCAAGATGACGATCATCTCATTATCAATGTACTCCTTAAACTCCCGTAGGTTACACACCATCTGCATCTCCAGCTCCGTGCGGATCTAAACAGGAGTGTGTGTGCAGGTACAGCGTGAGCTGAGTACACGTGAGAAGATTCTACAGAATTAATAAAATCATCCAGGAAGTGTTTTTTAGGATGTGTATTTGCATCATACATCTTTTGAAGTGACGTTCTCAAGGTCCTTTTGCGTCATGATCTCTCTCAAGCGATTCTTGATGAGTCTCTCTGTTCTTTCTCGCTCAGTTGGCCTGGAGAGACGCACAAAAAAAAAAATTACACAATCTGTTAAAGCTTCAAAACCACTCGAAAAAAATTAAGAAAAAGTAAAATAAATGTTTTGTTCAAATCTAACACGCATCCACTAGTACAACTTTGCAGGCCAAATATATGATTAATAAATGGTATTTAGAAAAAAAGTGTCTTTTTTTAAAGTGCCTTTATTATGCTATTTTAAAGGTTCCTAATTTTGTTTTGAAGGTCTCCTCCAATGGGGTTTCATGCATCCAGGGTCAAAAACACTTTAATTTTCTTTGCAGCATCATCTCTTTTCTCACAGTGTCTGGAATTCAATCAAGGATTTAGTCTCTCTAAACCCCTCCTTTTCAAGAGCCTGCTCTACTCTTATTGGTCAGATGGCACAATCTATTGTGATTGGTCTACTGCTTACAGTGTGTGTCAGAAACAAAACACCCATTACTATAAATTAAATTTCAGCTCCAGAGGGTTCCTCAGCACCTGATATGAACAGTCACAATGGCGTTGGTTTTAGCGTATCAATTCAAGCCCGAGTCCAATAATGAAACATTGTCGAGCACTTTGATCTTTGAAACTTTGCAGACCTTTTACGTTCACAATAGGGGTGGAACGGTACATGTATTCGTATTGAACCGAAACGGTACGGGCGTCACGGTTCGGTGCACGAATTTGCACGCAGAATACACGGTACAAATAAAAAAAAAAACCCTCTTAAATAGCGATAAATTCAGGAGTGTGTGTGTCTGTGTGCGCGCGAGAGAGAGAGAGAGAGAGAGAGAGGCGCGATGAACAGTGTGTGTGTGTGTGCGAGAGAGAGAGGCGCGATCGAACAGTGTGTGTGTGTGTGCGCGCGCGTGCGAGAGAGAGAGAGGCGCGGGCGCGAATCGCGCGATGAACAGTGTGTGTGTGTGTGTGTGTGTGCGCGCGCGCGAGAGAGAGAGGCGCGGGCGCGAATCGCGCGATGAACAGTGTGTGTGTGTGTGTGTGTGTGCGCGCGCGTGCGAGAGAGAGAGAGAGAGAGGCGCGGGCGCGAATCGCGCGATGAACAGTGTGTGTGTGTGTGTGTGTGTGTGTGAGAGAGAGAGGCACGGGCGATCGAACAGTGGAAACGTAAAAACATACTCCGTCACTTTTTTCATACAGGACATCATTAAAACTGCAAATTGTTTACTTATATTTGTGTACACTGGCAATAAAACACAACATTGTGCTTTTGTCACACTCTAAACTCTTGTCAAACTGTAACCTACAACTGTTAACAAAAGTTTTTATGGTAGTATTATTTTATACGGAAATCAATTATTTATAATTCAGATGAGAATAAAGTTAGTTAATTAAAATGAAGGAAAACAAATATCTTGATCTGAAATAGCAAATTAATTTTAAATTCATTCAGGTACAATTACCAAACATATCTCAAGGTCTTTTCGTCTTTTTAATAATTTAATTAATAAACTAATTATATAAAACTACTGTCAGTGCACTACAAATAAACTGGTTCTATGCCTTTATTAATAAAACTTATTTAAAAAAATACAAGGTTTAAGACATTTATAAAAATGCCTTCTGCATTTTTGCTTTGCTTTTCACTCCATTGTACCGAAATCGTACCGAACCGTGATGTCTGAACCGAGGTATGAACCGAACCGTGACTTCTGTGTACCGTTCCACCCCTAGTTCACAATCAGCTATATTACACACTACATGAAAGGTAGTATTCGAAAAAGCATAACAGGGCACTTTAAAATATATATGAAGTCCCATGATGCATCGAAACAGGCTTCCATTCGCTCAAATTGCAGGACCACTGACAAATTAGTACTCACACATCAGAGAAGAGCACAGGCGAGTCTGCGCGGTGGGACTGCACGTCCTGCATGGCGTTCCACTCGTTGATGCGGGACTGATCTGAGGACATCTGGCTCTGGTAGTAGCTCACCCAGGTCAGGAAGAGGCTGCCTGGGAAGTAGTTATGACAGCGGGCCACTTCACAGGCCTTATGAAGAGACTGCAGGGCTGACCTGAGAAAAAGAGGTGCTCCATATCAAAACATGCCACCATATCAAGGTTGGACTGACACCAAAATTCTTTCTTAGGTACAATAATAGCCCAGTATTGATATTAATCAAAACCTTAAGTAACAAACGAGGGTCAAGTGATTCAATAAATCAATGTTAATGTCAAAGCACTCATATAGAATTTTTTCAAAATATATACTATATAATTTAATCATACAGTAATCTATTTTTAAATTAGATGCATACAGTTCCTTTTTATGAAAATCAAATTAATGAAATACATAACAAAAAATAAATAATACAAAATATGTTAGCGAATTCTGCCATAAAGAGGCTAATTGACTATTTTTTGTAAAATATCCAACTGTTTTTGAATGAAACAGTTATCATATCAAATTCAGTAAATGTGTTAAAAATAGTGACGCACCGAAATTTCGTCAACTGAAAAAAAAAAAAAAAACTGTAAAAAAACCCAGTGACATTTAATTAGCGTTTCTCGTGTCTATTTCGTGCACAAATTGTGGATAAGCTACAACAAGTAAACATGTCAGCTGTGTGGACAATACCGATTTCTCGATTTTAATTTATCTTATTTTTGGTGAACTGAGTTGATTAACTCTGATAACTCTGATTTGCAAAAACAAAATGTTACTAAACACTATTTGTAGTGCGCCTTTCATCCAATAAACACAATCATCTTTGTGCTTCGTTACTTTTAATATGGAACAAAGTCTCTGCTTTCAAGTTTTGTCAATTTTATCAATAAATTCAAACAATAAATGGTCTTTTTGGTGCTCTTTAATGTGACGTGACAGATCGCTCGGTCCGCCTCAGTTCAAGCAACAGCACGTGCACGCGCACTAATAATTTCTTCCTCTTTACTACTAGTTACAGCAAGAAATAAATATGAAAGCCTAAATGTCAATTTCACTGTTTCGGTAAAAAATAATAATTTCAGTGCATCACTACTTAAAACTATATTTAATGAATCTCAAGAAGAAAAGAAAAGCACCCACCACATGGCTTGGACTGAGACTGGCTTGAATATGTGTATCCTATTATCTGTAGACACACTGAAACCCCTGTGAAGAAAACAGAGGGGTGAAACACTATCTGAACAACCTACAGTACAGGAGAATCAGAAGTGCATTTGTCAGTTTTTAACAGATATGCCACACCTACCCGTCACCATCCAGGTGGATCCGTGTGTCACTCCACAGAGGAAGCACCATGCCTATGGAAAAGGAACTGCAACACCCCCCAAAAATGACTTATTTGCTGTTAAAACATTTGATTGGTTTAACTTAACAGTACAAGCAGCAACACACACAAACCTGTCGGAAGGGCTGAAGTCCATGCCCAGCACCACGCTCTCTTCTGTGTCCTGTCTACCATTAGTGGAGACCACCACCATGTAGCGGGTACACTGGGGGAAGGTGCTCTCCAACCGCACAGCCTGTAGGGAAGGCAAATAGTCTCTTCAGAAAAAACATTGTATCAATATATTGGCCTTTTAGCTTTTTATGGATTTTTTTTTAAATACTTTTATTAAGCAAGGATGCATTAAATTGATGAAAAAAAGACAGTAAATAAATTTATAATGTTACAAAACATTTCAATAAACTTTTTTTTTCTTTTCTTTTCACAGTTTAAACAAACATAATAATGATCATGTGACACTGAAGACTGGATATATGACTACTGAAAATTCAGCTTTGCCACATCACAGTAATAAATGACATTCTAAAATACATTCAAATAGAAAACAGTTATTTTAAATTGCAATAATATTTCACTATATTACAGCTCTTACTGTATTTTTGTATAATAGTTATATAAGAGCTATAAGAAATTCTGCATTAGAGACTAGAGACTCACCGAACCCAAACTTTTGATAGTGTATATATATTTTTTTATTTTGTCTTTTACTACCATCTTTAATTAATTTAACTTACACTGTAATGTTTTGTAGTGTTGTCATTGTATGAAAGTTGTAAATTGTAACATTTACAATGTCAACTGCACAGCCTGCATCTAAAACAATATTTTAGATAAGCCTTTTAGCTTTTTATTATGATTTACATCTTCCGGTCTTAGAATTCACTAAGGTTGCTGCAATGCATTTTGGTATTTTATTATCTATAAAGTATTCATGCAGTGTGGCTTGATTTTTTCCCAAACTTTATTGCCTACACGGGCAGCTCACTAGGTTTTGGTAGAGAGCTAGTAACTGTGTGTGAGATTGTGTGTGGAGCTCACCAGACGGATGTTGTCCTCTGGCCGCAGTAAAGTGAACATGGTCTGCAGGTGCTGCTGAATGTCCCCTGCACAAAGAGAGTAAAATCGTTCATTAATCATAAATGGTCATATGCTTTTTATTTCCTTGTTTGCATGTGTTGTCTACTGGATGCCCATACCTGCATGTTTGCTGCGCTGTCCTGTAATTCTGGAGGAGCAGGATGAGGAAGAGGAGGAGCCATTCCCACGTGGAAGAAAAAGGGCGGCACCTTTCACTGTTAGAAAGCTCTCACTGATGCTGAGGACAGAAAGAGACAGAAATTGAGATCATGTGTATTTCTGAATGTGAATACACTACTGTTCAAAAGTTTGGGGTCAGTAAAAAAAAAAAAAAAAAACTTTTATTCAGCAAGCAAATACTTCTTGAGCACCCAATCTGTATATGAAAATTATTTCTGAAGGAGTGTGTACTCCTAAATAAATTAATGAAAATGAGTGAGTGAATTTGGACACAAATGGCCCAGGTATACTTCATTTTCCACACTTCCACACCGTTTTGCGCACAGTTGAGTGCACACGTGTCTCTGGCCGTGAGCACGGAAAGACGCGTTCTAGTCTTAGATTTCAAGTGCTCAAATCACTTGCACATGTGCTGTTGTTCACGCACCGTCCGCACTGACACTAAAATTGGGCTGCACGCGGACTGTGTGCACGGATGTCCACGGACCCTCCTGATGGTGAAAATTACGTCTCGGAAACAATGACCGTCGCAGAACCCGGACAGCCGAAGTATACTTTTACGCCTGAAGTGCTGCAGATGGGAGACTCTCTTCTAGTGAGATGTGGGGATTTATTAGGCCCAATTCTCACTTCGAATGGGTTTGCTCTAATAGCTAGCCATTGAATTAACATTGTTTGTAAATTCGTTATTTAGGTGCATTATGGGATTGAATGAGTACACTAATTCAATTGATAATATCCATTATGGTTTCGGACACCACTCCAAATGGCTGCCCCTTAAAATGTGCATTAAAGCTCCTGTAGGTAACTTTTGAAAACATGTATTTGCTAAAACTGTCATTATGTCCTGACAGTAGAATATGAGACAGATAATCTGTGTAAAAATCAAGCTCCTCTGGCTCCTCCCAGTGGTCCTATTGCCATTTGCAAGAAATACACGCTCCCGGTCAGAAACAACCAATCAGAGCCAGGAGGACTGTCTTAGCACTGTCAATCACGCTCGTGTACGCGCTGATCACACCCCTCTCTTGCACAGCACGAGCGCCGGAGCGCGAGCCATCGTTCAAACTCAAGATTGCCGGCGTGCTGCAGCTGTGCTTATGACGGAGAAACAACCTAAACTGCCAATTCTCGAGGGACACCTGCTCATAAAACAAAGAGGTAAAAGGAAAAAGACTGATGACGATAAACAAGCGAAAAAGAAAGAATTACACAGAGCCCATTGACTCGGTGTCAAAACTCTAGCCGCATAACATGTAGATAAAATGTCACGCACTCTGCTAAGCAACAATTGAAACCTGCTAATTCACTGGCTTGTCATGTTGCTGAAATAATGTACTAGCACACCTTATCTAGCATTATATATCGCTAGAATAATTACTTACATACTGTAACGTTAGTTACCGTTATATTAACGTTATCTTACTAGCTATTTATAACTTATAGAAAGAGTGCAACATTATAAAGTTACATGTAGGCTGTATTGCAAAATACATAATGATTTGAGGACGAAGTTTGTAGTCAAAGTATGGGCAGGACATAGTCAATGTAAAGCATATTATTGACGTTTAGTCCCTATTAGTGAATGTGCCATATAACTTTTTATCCGCTGTTATCGGTGGCCCTGTTTACTAGCCTGCGCGTTCACGACAGGCTCCGCTGTGGAGGACGAGCTGTGGAGGGAGGGCTGTAGCGCAGCAGAGAGCAAGGGGGTGGGACCTGTAAGTTGTGCTTGTTCAAATTTTCAGGCTAAGTCAACGTTTTCTCAAAACTCCCTACTGCAGCTTTAATGGTTTAGGACACAGCCCTGGTCTCGAACTATGAATTAGTGTCTTTCTTCAGTGTTACTTTTTTTCTCTCCCATTATTTCATCCATCAGGTGAAAATCATAAGTCTAACTGCTTACTGTGTGATTTGTACATGTACATTTCTGAAATCCATTACTAGGACACAGTCACCTCTGATAACAGATCACTCTAAACTGTAATATAGACACATGCATTTTCTGTAAAGCTGCTTTGAAACTAGATGTATTGTGAATAGCGCTATACAAATAAATGTGAATTGAACTTCTTTAAGTACTTAAGCGCTCATGGGATGTGTGTCAAGACTTTTTGGGTGGAATACAATTGACTTATTGAACAATGTTTCTCTTTTTCACTTCCTTACAAAGGCAGAAAGCTTGTTTAGCTCTAATTAATCACAATGAATAGCAAAATGAATGGCAAAGGATGCACAATAGGTGTGGAAATTATGCTTTATCTGTGTATTTTATCATTCCCGTGCTGCAGCAGATGATGATGGGAAACATAGTTTGGTTTCCTCCTTTTTAAATGAGTAGTGCTTTTTCAGGTGAGTTTCATCATTTTTCATAAATGGTAGACAAAATGTATTATTTAAATAAAAAACAACATCATATTATATAATAACACTTTGCCTTATAAATCCCCACTAATTAACAAAAAAAATAAAGCTAAAACGAAGAGAGGAAACTTAAAAATCTACAGAAATTAATGTTTAACCTTATTTAAAGAGACCTATTAAGCTTTTTTAAATGTCTAACTTTCTTTAGTGTGTCATTTTTGTTGTTTGAGCATTAAAACGGTTGCCAAAGTTACAAAGCACAAAGTCACTCCAAAGGGAATTTTTCTCTATATCAGTAAAGCACTGTTTCTGAACTCCCTGAAACACCTTGATTATAGTCTTCAGTTTTCTTCCGGAAGCAATGCATACATCACAATATTCCTCATTTAAATGATTCCTTCCCAAGGCATACGGGAAAAAAAGGGGAGAGGACTGGTTAAGTTGCGTTAGTCGTTAGTTGAAACTTGCGATTATGGTAAGGGGTGTGCCATTTACAAAACACCCTCAAAGCAGTTGACCAATCACAACACCCTGGTCCAGCCAACCAATCAGAGCACACTGCGACGTTTGGAAGAAAGGGCTTCATAGAGAGAGAAACTAAACAGAGTGTTACAGACAGACTGGGAGAAGTAAAAATGCAAAAATGTAAAATATATGAAGAATAAGGTGTCTTTGACCATTCAAGCATGAAAACCTATTAAACCTCAAAAACAATATCGAGACTTTGTAAAAGGGCATAACATGTCCTCTTTAAACAATGTGGGAGCATTTATCAGAGGCTACCTTCTGACATTTTAAATACTATTTGCCAGCACTAAGAAATTAGATTTAATTTTTAAATTAGCCATCTAAACCGTGTCTATCCTGTGAAAGAAACGCTGTTATTTCTATCTTTTCTATAAATTTCTCTGATGCGTTTTAAATCCTGAGTGGAACATGAGACACTGAGTTCAATAGGGAATATGGGAGGACTCCTTTTTGAAGGCATTAGCTCACACATCGAACTCTCTGTCCAGGACGCAAACAAGAACACTCTGTTCCCCATCACTGCGACAGCTGGGGGATCTGTGTGTGCGAGTTTCTGTTCTTTGAATAATACCAAGCAACATATCTCCTTCCAATCAATGACATTCAGACTATGCAGACTGTAAAACAAGAGCGAGCGTGAATAGCAGAGAGAGCAGAGAAGTGAGAGAAGCACAGATTCATTTGTGTGTGCGCGCGTCTGCTTTTGAGTCATGTGCATAACCATATGTCTTTTTATGAGGGTGTTATTGTGTGTCGGCTCAAAAGCGTGAGAATGAAGTATTATGGGAGTGTGTACATGTGACTTTGTGTGTGTCTATTGTCTAAAGTCTGTTGCATCTATTCAATGGTCTGTTGTTAATCATGAACCTGTTAATTTATTTTATTATTACTACTATAAAGGAGTGTTTCTAATAGGATTTTTTTGCAGCATATTTGGGCCTAAGAGCTTTCTAAAAAAAAAAAAAATACATTCTGTGCTCTAAATGTTTCTGTGCTTCAAAAATGTATTTTAAACAAAAGTTTTTATGAACAACTAGTCAGGCATTTGAATGATTTAAAGGGAAATGTCACACTTTACAATAAGGTTTAATTTGTTAACATTAGTTAACTACATTAGTTAACATGCTTTATAAACATATCGTTAGTTTATGTTAGTCAATGCATTAACTAATGTTAATTAACTAATTTAACAAAAATGAATTATTTGCCATGTTTTGTATTCCTTTGTAGTTTTTCTTGTTTATTAGTCTTCCCAGGCGTTTCTGATTAGTCATGCCCCCTTGTTATCTTGTTTAGCTTGTTTGCCTTTGTATTTAAGCCCTGTGTCTAGTTCAGTCTTTGTGAGTTCTTGATGTTGTAACGTTGGTTGTTCTGTTCCTGTTCCCGAGTCTTGTTCTTGAGCCTATGTCTGAATTTGAGAAGTTTTGAGTTTATTTAATTAATGTGTGCTGCACGTGGATCCTGCTTCCTCCTATGATTCAACCACATCATTACAGTTACCGTTATTTACTATATCATTATTTATGCACCCACATGTCAGTTTATGATAGTTTTACAAAACACTGCAAGTCATACAGTAATCCAGTGTGATGAACAGATCAGGTCCCCTCTTAGGGGCTGTTTACACCCGGCCACTTCATGCGTTTTCTCAGATCGGATAGCTATCAGATTTATCAAAACGATTCCATTTACACCTGGTCACATAAATGTGTTTTTGCAAAACGGATATAAAGCCGATCTTCGATTCCCACGCTATATGCAGATTCACGTCAGTGCACGTCACAGAAAGCAACAGATATGTGCAGCATATTTTGATCACCAAAGACCGCAATAAGAGAGAGCGGCAACAGCCCTGGTAAGATCATTTCGTTTCTTTACTTTTAATGATGATGATTGCGTGTTAAGCGTCTGCGACTTACTTGCAATAGTTTGCACGTTGGCTTGATGAATAGATGCACAGCTGCGGCGATACGTGTTGCAGTAGCGTCATCATATCTGACTATAACATGACATATAGCCTATATAACACGCTCTCACACGTTTATTTTTTAGCATTTTTGGGAGGAGTAAAATTTACATATGTGGTTTCAACAACCAGATGCATTTACACTTGTCCAGTTTCGTCTGGAATGCGGCCCAGACCACCTCCTGAAGTGGTTTGAGCGA